GGCATGTTTGAACCTGCGCATTCAATAAACTTTTCCTATATTGCATCGCTTGGCTTCATTGTCTCTTAATTCTACTACACACCCACCTTGGAAGGATGGAAGGCTGAGTCAACCTTGAGCCGGTGAGATTTGAACCGCTGAACTGCAGATAACAGTCAGCTGAAGTGGCCTGCAGTACTGCACCCTAACCACTGCGCTACCTCGGCTCTTAAAAATCAGTGAAAATCATCACTGAAAATCGGGAGACTAACTTCCCAGTATAACAATAACACTTAGACTTATATACCACTTTACAGTGTTTTACAGCCCTCTCTAAGTGGTTTACACAGTTAGCATATTGCCCCCAACAATTTTGGGTCCTCATTCTACCCACCTTGGAAGGCTGAGTCAACCTTCAGCCTGGTGAGATTTGAACTGCCAAATTGCAGTCAGCAGAAGTAGCCTGCAGTACTGCACTCTAACCACTGTGCCACCACAGCTCAATAACATGGATGTATTTTCAATCAGTCTTATTAAAGTATATGATGGCAAATGTCAAAAAAGACTTCGACAAGCAGATGTTTGACAGAGGAAATCCTGGATTCAGATTGCACTTCAGCTGATCGTTTGGAAATATCGGTATCCCTCAACAAATATGTTTTCCCCTTCTTTTTTAAACTACTGCAATCCAACAAGCTTGCATGCACCATTCATTTGCATGAGCTGAAAGAAAAGGCATAGTTTAATTATTACTTGCCATCTTGGAATGCATTTAGAACACTTGACTTCTGTTAGTCCTAATGGAATTTAAGTGGTCTCTGAGTGGAGATGTAGCTTAAAAAAAAATCTGTGTTGTTTCCCCCCCTGAAACTCTTTGTCCTCTTTGGTTAATTTGTGCTTCTCATCCTTCTCCACATTACAGAATCTTTCTCAGGAGCCAGTTATTTTGGAACGTTTTTGCAAACAACAAGAAAAGGCTGCTGGTTCCCCCCCCCCCCCCGGGATGTTTAATAAATAAAAAAATAATTTCTGTACAAATTAGTAATGATGTCAATTTTGAGGCTTTTGATGAAATGAGGTTATGCGTTTTTCACTAAGGTCTACGTAACTATCCTGCATATATTATATGCTGATATACATTTCTATGGCATAGAAAGCTAATTCCTTGGAGATATTAGCGCAACTCTGTTGAATGAACAGGCCTTCCCCACTGCTTTCCTGTTAATGTTTTGTCTTGTAATAGGCTATTCAGAAATTTAGTCTTAGGCCTGATTAAAATCTTGAAAACTTTTTCCCCTTCCACACTTTTATTCAAAATAGCAATTTTACAAGGACAGGCCTTGGCCTTTGCAATTTGTTTACTTGTAGATGTATCCAGCATGTCAAGGAGGAATCGACTCATCTCAGTTTTAGTGGAACTATTCCATTTGTGCACAGGGTTTGTGAAGCTTACAGCTATTGCAACTCATCCATGCAATACATTAACATCAGGTGGAAAGCGTAATGTTTGACCCAGCTTATATTTTAAATAGGGTGCGTTCCTCTCACTCCCATCTTAAAATCAATAGGGTCAAGTTCCAATCATTTATATTTGGTTAGACTTTTTGGTTAGACTTTTGCCTTTTATTGCATCTGCATACTGAAATTTCAATTGATGTAATCATATGCAAATCCAACTGTTGGACATTCACCTTGGTTCTGAATTCCCTAAAACCTTTGAGGGCTCCTAAGAAAAACTGCAGTGGCTGAACAATAGTGTTGGTGAGGCTTAATTCTTGCTAGGCTCAAATGCAGAAAAAATTGCATTGTGTGTGGGTGTGTGCGTGCGCGCGTGTGTGCGCAAGTGTGCTAAGGTATTTAAATTTAATAGCGAGAGCAGTGGGGTTGTACAGTTGTAGTAGATTGGTTGGAGAGCGCTGGCTCCTGTGTGAGGCCGTCTGTGCTGTGATTGGATTCTGTGGATGTAAAAGGGGGAGTTTCTTTGTTTTCCCGCCTTTTGCTTCCATGCTCTGTGATTTACTTCATGATGCTCCTGTTAGTCTGACTATCTTGTTTGCTGCAAATATAGATGTAAAATATATTTATTTATATAAAACTACAAATTCATATCAGCGTCTCTGACTTCATTTGGACATCTGTTGTGCAATTCCCTGACTCACACTCTCCCTTCCTCTGTGTGTGTTTGTGTGTGTGTGTTTGTGTGTGTGTGTTTGTGTGTGTGTATGTTCACTACCGGTAGTCGTCTTCCATCCGTGGGAAGGAAAGCCAGCTCTACTTCAGCATGGTTGCTACACCCTGTTTTTACTGACCATGTTCAGGGATTATATGACAGGGCTAGTCAGGGCTGGTTCTAAAATGAGTTACAGGATGGAGAGCCATTTTGGAGCCTTGTGCTATAAATTCCGGCTTATATTAAAAAAATCATGACTACATACAAGCAAAGCAACATCACACTGGTAATCTAGACAGATTTCCACGTTCACATACAGATAGAAAAAAAACCTGTCGTATGCCCATAACGGATAAATCAGATTTACCTAGTACAAAGGCTTGCATAGTTGTGCCTATCCCTTTCAACCATTGTAGGTGCTTTTGAAATGGCTCCTCTGTACGCATGCATGCATGCATGTACATGCATGCACACACAGCTAGAGGCACGGACAGATTTTATGCGTTCAATCTAAACACTACCTTTGCAAATGATCCTTAACTGGCGTTTCAAAGGCAGCTACCCCTTTGGGCATAGCAGCTGTGTTCTTTGCAAATGGGATCCCTCCCATTTTTCAGGATTTGGTGGCGAGACGGGCTGGCGTCAGGTTACAGATCCAGGGAGTATTTATATTAATGTACATTCTGCAAGAAGTGGGTAGGGCCCCTCCTCCCTTTTGTTGCTAGAGGAACAAATTAAGGATCCCAGAAGCTGTCATCTGTTCTGTGAAACTTCCCTGCAGAGGGTTAGTTTGAGCTATAGAGCTCTAGTCCAAATCCTCTTGGTCAAGCTTCAAAGGAGTTCTGTTCAAGCCACAGACAGAGGCCAGGACCAGCAGGAAACCTTGAAGGGGTGACCTTGAACTTCCTTTGCGCCAAGGAGCCATAAATCCAATCTCTGCTCCTAGAAGTTAGGAGAGTGTTTGGGTTTGTGGAAGGAGTTGCTGAGTTTTTTCAGTGTCTTTTTAATCCTCAGAGCTGTCAGTCTTGCTGGGGGACTCTGGAACCAGCATTCTTTCATGATCTTAGCTAGGGAAGATAAAGCCTGGAAGGTGGGGTGGGGGTGGGGGTTGAGGGAAAGAGAAGGGATAGTTAGAATCAAAATCTAGACTTAACACATCTTCCAAAATTCCCAAACAACTAGAATCTTGCATGTGTATTCACAGGACTCCCATCCTGAGCAAAAGCCTGACACAGTTTAACTATGGTTTGCTGAATAAATCTTAGATGTTGTGATTGTACATCATGCTGAGACGACTAGTCATGCAAGGGTGGGAGACTTTTCTTACATGTTTTAAAGGACAGTCTCTCTGTTTTTAAGTATCAGGCCCAGAGGTGGTATTCAGCCGGTTCGCACTGGTTCGCCCAAACCAGGGACAGAAATTTTGCCCAGTTCGGTGAACTGGTAGTCCTCTAGTCCAGTGTTTCCCAACCTTGGCAACTTGAAGATGTCCGGACTTCAACTCCCAGAATTCCCCAGCCAGCGAATGCCGGACATCTTCAAGTTGCCAAGGTTGGGAAACACTGCTCTAGTCCAAGGAGACTTGCAAGGCAATAGGATGTGGATGCGTGAAGAAGATGGCGGCAATGGCAGCCACTTTTTCGTTGACCGGAGGACTTTTCAGCAGCTTGTGGCCAGCTGCTGGCTTCTTTGAGAGCTGGTATGCAACGAGGCGGCAGCTGGGAAACTTCTTTGCCAGCCAGCAGCTTCCCAGCAGCGGCGGCTGGCTGGGGGTGGCCAAAAACTCCAGTCAGCTTGCCTTCTGGACTGGACCAGCCACCGCGGAAGGTAAGCAACCAAAGAGGTGGGGGGGAGAGGAAGCGGGGAAACGGCGACTAGCGAAGGGAGGGTGGGGATAGATAGGGAAAAATCCTAAAAATGTTCCTACCTTTTCTTGTGGGCGTGGCTAGGTGGGGAGGCATGTGACTGTGTGGGCATGGGTGTGAATGACATCACACTGGCCACGTGCACTCAGTCACATGCCCTCCCACCTAGCCA